TAACTCACCTAAAACCCCAAAACCCCAAAACCCCAAAACCCCAGTTATTCAATTCTACGTTGAAATTTTAAATTTATTCTAAAAATCCATAATGGAATCGAATAACCAAGAAATTATTGTAAGTTTTACCTGTACACTTTGTAACTTGTCACAGGAATTACTCGAAAAGGAACGCCAAAGGATCGAAAATATTTATACAGAGGAATCAGAGGATAACGAAGATTATCCTCCAGAGGAATATTCCTCTGATGAAGAGGAAATTGACCATAATAATTATAAAGGCATTTATGCTGGTGATGAGCCAGGCCAGAAGTTCACTGACCCAATCACTGGTGCACACTTTGAATTCGATGATATGTGCTCAAGGCTGGAGAGAGTGGAAGCAGACCGAAACTCCCTTGATGCTAGGGTTAGCAATCAACATAAGCTCTTGGATGATGATGAGGAGTTTGGAATTTATAAGACCCAAGAGCAAAAGAAACGCATTATTCGTACAAAGAGTAATAAGAACAAAGAAGATATTATCAAACAACTTAACCAGAAGATTACTTTCGCACAGAATTATGGTGAGAATAGGAATAAAATGACCCAAAAGCAGGTTAAGAATAAGAAAAATAAGGAAGGAGAGATTATTATAGGGGATGACCCCAGTAAGTCCTCCCAGTTTCACTCTGTCCTAACCTTTGTGTAGAGCATCACCAAGGTGTTTATCTCAATGACCCAGAGACGGTTTCAAGCATTGCTACGAAAGGAGGGCAGTTACCGACCCAGAAATCTCAGTTTGATCAGAAGTCCTTTAGTTCCCAAGGATTAAGGGATACCTCCACTAGGTATAAGGCTGCTCAGAACCTGATGGGATACCAGAATGTAGGTCCTCATTCAATCACAATACAGATAATTTCAATGGCAAATGGTCTTAACAGTTTTGATAACTCTAAAGCAAAATACCGGCTACAAAAGAGAGACAAAAGTTTTGGCAGCATGATCCAATTGGGTGACTTCAATTCCTCAAAGAATTATTACCATAATACAAGTGTCAGAGCAAGGCATAGCTTGAGTAGCAAAAGTATTCTCTCATGTTTAAACGGATAGATGATAAGCTTATTAAGAAGTCACATTCAAAGAGCTCACACTGCAACAACATCATTTTGGAAAATACGAAACCGACCAAGAACAGGCGGAAGAAGAGGAGTAGCGGAAAGAAGAGAAGCAAAGAAAGGAGCAAGGAAAAATAATATTTCTGACCTAATCTTAGCTATTAGCAAGAAGTATAAGCTCAAGAAGTCTGTAAAGGGTAAGTACCTCCTCCTGATGTATCCCTAGGATCCAAACATGGATTCCATATTCCTATTAAGAAGTCTCTAGTATCTGGTATGAAAAACTCCAGAGACAGGTCAACCCAGAGGAGTAAGTCTAAGAAGACTAAGTGGAAGAGCTCGCCTTATAAGAAGAAGATGGCAACTAAATTCCAAAAATTCAAAACTATGATGAACGACACTCCCGAGAGGAAGAGGCATTCCAGGAACTCCAATATGAGGATCAGTGAGTATACAAATTTTATGCAGGGAGCTAGGAAGAAATGTAAGTGGATACCTCCTAATTGGCTTACTCCATAGCATCTTTGAAGAGGCCCATGTCAAAGAAGAAAGTGTCCCATGATTTCGATAGGTTCAAGACTTTTGATAGAAAGTACAGCCGTGCTAGCGGAGATCACCTCAGGAAGATACTTAGCAAAGGCAAGTCAAGAAATCGGTCCAAGACTAAGAATGAAAACTATTCCAGGAATGTGTTTTAAGTACTTTGTGACAAACCCTTTGAACGTTAGAAGGAATTCTGGTAGCCCAGACTTTTGAATTTGGAAATTAGAGGTTTTCAATTATTCTTATGACAAATGGGGTTTTGGGGTTTTGGGGTTTTGGGGTTTTGGGGTTTTGGGGTTTTGGGG